GAATGATTGTAGACATGATAATAAACATACTACAAAGACTGGTTTGCAAAAAAAGACTTTCCAAATATAAAATATCATCATTTTATAAGATAGTCCAAAACATGAAAATGTAAACATACGAATTTTGACATTTTGGCTAAACCATGTTTTGAAACTTTACAAAATGATTTTATAGACTTGAAGAAAGATGTAAGCTATTGTTATGAAGTATATAAACAATGAATATAGTGTTTTATCAAAATACACATATAATTCACTAAAACATGATTTCATTGAACTAAATAAAATTGATATTGATGAAATCATATATATGCATATAAGTATGAAACTAGAATATGTTTTCTAATTATATTTAATTGTTTCATAGTAAAACTTGAAAACTATCAAACCAAAACATATATGTATATATATAACTATATATATACATGGAAACCAATAAATGTGTGTGTGTGTGTGTGTATTATATTGAGCTTAAGGTATTAACACACATAATATAAACTCCTAAACTAAATTACCCAAGCTGATCTTGATCTTCAATAAGCTTGACTTAGTACACTATGCGGATGAAGATGAACTTGGATCTTAAACTTGAAATGCATAAGCTTCACTCCACAATTCCGTCAACCTCTATTTGATATTGTCATTGAAGCTCTATTCCATCCATCCTCCAACATATTGTTTGCCTAGAATAAATATAAAATACAAATACTAGACAAACAATATTAGATGTAAATTGTTTGTAAATCATCATCAAAATAAGAAGGCCAACAAGTTGATCCCTATCAAACATCAATGATGGAAGTTATAATTTGGCGGCTTCCAGAAGGCTACAATTTAAAAACTTTCACGTAGATTGATGAATGTTACAATCTAATGACCTTCACAACAACCGATGAAAGTTCTAATTCAATAGCTTTCACAATCATCAACAAGAGTTACAATCTAATGACTCTCACATTTCAAAGAGCCAAATGCAAAGATTACAAACTGACGATCTTTGCAACGATCTCTTTAAATCAAATGCATGGTTCACCCCCAGCATTCCAATTAAACGTAGGGTCCATCCCTAGTGTTCCAGTTGGAAACGCATGGTGCAACCCCAGCGTTCAAGTCCAGACGCAGAGCTCGTGGCCGTGTTCCAGACTCAAAACGCTAAGCTTGTGGCCGCGTTCCAGACTCAAAACGCAGAGCTCACCTCTGCGTTCCTAGAATGAGACGCAAAGCTCAAAAGCTGCGTTGCAACATCAAAACACAGAGGTCCTCCATGCATTACGATATTAGAACGCAGGGGTCGAACCCGTGTTTTCTGCGTTTGACTGGTTCAAACAGAACCTGAACGGTTTCAAAACCGTATCTCCACTTAATAGGATCGGTTACACCCCATTAATGAGTGATTTTAGGGGGCGGTTACACCCCGTTAAGGAGTGATTTGAGGGGGCGGTTACACCCTTAAACCCCTAAACGGTTTCAAAACCGTTTTTCACGAAATGGGGTCGGTTACACCCCCATTAATGAGAGATTTTAGGGGGTGGTTATACACCTAAATTCCCTATAAATAACTAAAAAACCAGCTTAAAATGAAATTTTTTTGGAGATCGAAAAATCAAAAAGGAGATCGACATTCATCCTTAGAGAGTTTTCATCTTCAGCAACAGAGATCTTGGAGCTTAGATCTTGGCTTACTAACCGAATTTTCGGTTCAAATCAATTCTTTCACAGAGTTTCAAACTCGTTTAGAGTTATCAACTCGTCAAGAGTTTCAAACTTACTTTGCAAGTTCGTCCAAGACGTCGAGTCAAGAGGCGAAGACAACGTTCCAACGAGGTGTTCGGATCGTCAACGAGAAGCAAATTCGATCCGAACATCGAGGGAGGCATCTCATCGCTACCGTAAAGAACCTAGTTTTAAACAAATGGGAGGATCTCCGTCGATCCTCTTCTCTTTTGTAAATCGGGATTCCGATTGAGAATATTTGTAATTTCTTTTTCTAAGCCTGTTAGATAGCGAGATTACTTTGAGAGAATTGTAAACTATTCTTTATCTAAATCAGTTAGAGAGAATAAAATCAAATACATTTCTCACAATTATTCTTCCAATTTTCCCACAAACTTGTAAATGTTAATTTGGAATGCAAATCATGTTTCAATGTGATAGCCAGTATGTTTCAGTTCATATCAAAATTCACAAAATAAATACAGGTAATGTGTTTTCAGGAAATTCACGAGACTACCAGTTTCGTGGATTACGTTTATGCACATTCCACGGGACTAGTAGTCTCGTTCATTGTGCGTGCACGTTTTTGTGCACGCCCAACACATGAATGGGACTACTGGTCCTGTGGATTTTGTTCTTTCAAAATTCACGGGACTAGCCTTCCCGTGAACTCTTAATTTGGCTATTCTAGCTTATTTTGTACTGATAATTTTCATAAAAGTCCCTCAACATCACAATTATTGATATTAGACAATTAATAATTACTTACAGTTATTTCCTCAAATTCTTTAAAATTTTGAAAATTACTTCATCAAACTTAATATTAGTTTGTCAAATCTTTATAGGTTTGGGATTACCCCCTTAAATGTCCATAATAAGTTGAAATTAATACCTAAAATCTCTAAACATTTTGCAAATTACCCCCTTAAATTTAAAACTACTTCCCCAAATCTTTATTCACTTTCGCTTTTCCTACCTTAAATGTTCATATTTTGAATTAGTCTCTCAAATGGGTTCATAAAAACTTAAAATCAATCTCTCGAATAGTTAAGTATTTGGAATTACTCCCTTAATTGTTCGTAATTAGTCCCTCAAATCTTTAAAAAATTTACAAATTACTATCTTATATTTAAAATTATACTCTCAATTAGCTAAATGTTTTAAAATTCCTCCCTCAAATGATCATATTTAGAAATTAGTTTTATACTATTTTGAGTGGTAAGCACACCACGGTGACCATAATCATGGTTTCTTCTATTTTTAAGTTTGAACCCAACACTAGAAAATGAGGGAATCAAATCAAACATTAACTACTTTCTTGTATTTTTAATTTGAATCAAACTAAAGAAAGTGACGGAAAGTAATTATACCCCACGTTTTTTGACAAAACAAACATAAGAAACATTTTTTCAAGAATGTGAGAGAAACACCAAAAAATAAAAGAAAGTGGGCATTGAGGAATGAAGGAAAGTAACCAAAGAGCCCCTCATTGGCTGCCTGTTAACAACTGAGCGACGTGGTTCTCTATAGTATATTATCTTTGAAAAACTAAGCTTGAGATTTGGGTCATCAATATGTTTCCCTGTGATTTTATGCTAGCAAACTGAGAAGATCTGAATTTGAGAATTCTTCGTGATATTAATTATGTGGACGCATATAATAAGTTCCATTATAAAGAAACGTGGCTTCACGTATCAGAGTTGACTGTTCACCATTTTGCATTGATTAGAGAAGCTGCTAATTATACTTTTTAAATCGATGATTCAAGCTGGACCATGTTTTTAGAGAATCTTTCACGTTTGAGCATCATCTATAAATAAACCCTTTGAAGTCAATTATGTGACTCAATCCAGGACCAAATCCTATTCAACATGAAAATTTTCAAGGAAACAGATCGAATGAAACCAAATTGCAAAGCGTAAGCTGGCATTTTGTACCAGATTCACAATTTTCCTTTTCGGTTCAGAGATTTACAATTTTTAGGTCCTTTTTATGTTTTAAGAGCCTTAATTTGCCCACATTTTATGCATCCTACAAAGCAAAAGGGAGCGATTTGGTCACTGTTTAAAGTTGCAGTATTTGAAGTTTATAATCAAACATTGGGCTCGTATAAACTTAAGAGAAACAAACATTATACAGAATTGACGATAAATAAGGAGCTTTAAAATGAAGGACAGGATAAAATGAATGCGGTCCCACCAAGAGGAAGTAGAGGCCCTTTTTCGGTCTACCCTCTATTTGAAGCATTGCTCTTGTAATTATGGGGATGGTATCCTATCTTTTCAAAGTTGTTAAATGTTTTTGGTTTTCATTATAGCTCTTGCTGGTGTCAATGTCATTGCTTCTCTTGGGAAATAGAAGGTGAAGATAAAACCCTGTGCTATCAATTTAATACACAGAGATAGAGACTTCTGGAGTATGGGTGCATAAAAATATCCCTATCCAAGATATATGTATCCATATCCGCACATGGTTACTAAAATCTATAATCGATAGGATATAACTATAAGTATGGCTATGTAGTAAAATATCTGAATCTGTATTGAAATATCCAAAAATATATTGGTCATACCGTTGCAACAATTTTAATTCTTAGATTAATGTACATTTCTCTTTGTATCCGCTTATATATCCGCATACATAGTTGTATCTGTATTTAATTTTAGCTGATATAGATATGAATTTTTCTTACCGAGACATACATCCATATCCATACCCGTGATTGGTAAGCGAATATGGATATCATATCTGAGCCGTACGTATGCACCCCTACTTCTTAGATCACGAGCTTCCTACAGTAAGAGCAACGGATAATGATCAAGGAGATGGTTGAATACCTTGCGTCTTTGTATTGCTTTTCTGCTTGTGTACTCTGATATGGAAGCGTCTCCTCCTACATGTCAATATCGTGCAGATAATAGTTATTAAGGCATACAAATATGGATCAACAATCTGTATCTCAAACTCTAGATTCAGAGATGAATCTGCAAACTACAGAGCAAGGGTATACTTGTCGACCTGTAATCGTCATCAAATAGTCATTCTCCCATTAATATTGCAGTTGATAAGCCATGATATGCTACTATGAGTCTATGAGTTCAGAGCAATACTTACCATGGGAACTGATGGGAAGCGAAAGCAGACAAAGGAAAATCGGGGCCCGGGCGGGCGGCCGGGGGGGGACGCACACGGGGAGGGGGGGGGGGCGGGGGGGGGGGGGATTATGAAGTGCTGCATATCATGAGGGAAATATTGGCGCATGACATCTTATCTCTCTCTAGTGCTGGTAACCTCCAACATTTTGTTCACTTTCAGATCCATGTTACAGACATACTTGGTCACGAATGTCATCAGTTTCAGCTGAATTATTGCATAGCCATCATCCCAGCTTCTTAGCTGAGGGCTGAGGGGGATTACATAGTGGTTATATAAAGTAAAAGAACTAAATGAAAAAACACAAAGAGCACGATACAACAACAACGACAACGCCTTTATACCAACTTTTTGGAACCAACAAATGATTCCTACTATCCCACTCATGAACAAGTGTTGGGATTACGAATAATTGGGACTGGTGCTAAGTGATCTTCCTACCTTTATGTAATTCACATCTCTTCCTTCCAGTAACTGGAGTTTTCTGACAACTTGAACCATTACTCAAAGCAATACCACATACAGATACGTTGTAATTCTCTTTCACACCTATGCTCTTACCGGGAAGCATCTCCGTGATCCTCTGCCCTTTATGGTCCTCACACCTCTTTCTTCCAGAAGCTGGCTTCCTTCTGCAAATATGACCATTAGTGACCGCTCCACAGATATTTCCATTCTCCGCAGTCTCCCAGCATTCTCTGCTTGTTGGTAACCTCAAATTACTTGCAGTAGCTCTCTGCCCTTTATGCTCCGCGCACCTTTTTCTTCCCCAAACTGGTGTGTTTCTACACATTCTTCCATCATCATCGATCACACCACAAATACTATACTCCTGTTCATGCTTAACTACTACTTGAGACTGACGTTTCGAAATAGGGGTTTCTTTCTGATCTTCAAATAGTACAACAGCCATGTTGTGGGGTTCAAGTTTAGTTATTATGCTGCCTTTATGCATTTCACATCTTTTTCTACCATATGCTGGCAACTCAGCACAAAGAGAGCCATCTTTTAAAACTACACCACAAGTAGTTGTGGCCTCCTCCATCGCAGGGAATCTGACTGACACTGGAACACCTCCAACAATTTTCTTTCCCTTGTGTTCTTCACACCTTTTTCTTTCCATCATAGGCTTGTTCTTACAAACTGACCCATTGCCGATGGCTACTCCACAGATTTTGTGGTCCTCATAAAAGCTGTTGTCTGCATGAACGAATCGAAGCTGGGACTTCCTAAATTTGAAAACTAGGGAAGGAAGGAAACCCTTTTGATCATCAAGTGGCACGCTATCATCAATGTTGATTCCTGCTTTGCTACCAAATGCTGGATGCTTCCATGGTTGGAGTTTTCTGCGAAAAGTGCTGATTTGGGCGGTTCTCTTGCCATCAAGCTTTGATAAGATTTCATCATGGCGACAGACACCATTTCCACTTTTGTTCCATGCATAGTCAAAGACAGCAAGCAGCTCAGCCTCTGTCTTCTCAGCTTTCTTCTTGTCTACCATCTATCGGCATTCAAAAAAAAATTGTTATCTACATAAGGAGTTAGGAATTGAAAAAGAATATTGGAGAACAGTCGTCAAGAGCTAATCAAGCAAGCAAGTCATGGAATCTCAACTCAAGCCATATTTAGTGCATAAATATCAAATGTGTGTGCACATGCGAGTGTAGGAGCGTGTGGGTGTAATGTCTACTATGTATGTATGTACGTGCTCTTCGACCTATTATCACTTTAGGGATGCCACACCATCTTTCATGAAACATAACATGGCTAATCATCCAGTTCTACATTACTTTCAAAACTTTCTATCATCTTGAAAAGGAAATTATATACCATTCTAAACAAAAGGACTCTGCTAAGAGGCAGTATGTACTTACTGGAGCCCATCTGAACATGATCGAGTAGCCTCTTGAGAAGACGTCAGTGAATAATCCAGAACATTCTTTTCCCTCTGAAGAGATTAATCTTCCAGAGTGCAAATGTGCTCCAACACGGCCGTACTGCTGAAGCCTTGTTCTGACATTATTTGTTTGGCCAAGGTAAACAACTATGATAGTTTGTGAATCAAGCATGCGTGCCTTGCGACCATCATCCTTGGAAATTACAGCTATGCCAAGCTCATAAAGTCCGGGGCAAGAACTACCATTTGGAAGGTTATGCGTCCTGTATCGCTGTACCCCATCCTTTCCTAGTGAAAAGTCCTCCCAGTCAGATGACCCAATGAGAATCTGAATTGGCCGAGTAGACACAGAAGCTACAATGTTTAGAAGAACAATAAGAGAGAGGCAGTACTTAATGTGTAAGCTTGTCAATGAATGGTTATACATATTTGTAAAACTAAATATTAATCAAGGGATTAAGCTATAGAAGAATGTTGAATCTCTTTTCAGTAGCAGGTAAACAATATTATAAAGACAAAAGTGATGTTTCAGGCTCCATTAACTTAAAAACAAAGGATCTTTATTCAAGTTACTTCCACTGTCTCAAAACATCAAAGTTGTGTTGATGATCAACGAATGTATTTTTATATTCTATCACCAACTAAGTAAATAAGTTCTATTAACGCAAGCAATAGAAGGTAGAGATAGAACCTGTAGAAGTAATTATTATGTGTAAGTGCACAAGATGAAACATATTGATCTCTTCGCAGATTGTGCTACATAGACCGATATCCAAGGTCAATTTCCGCAGTGCATGGAATAATGGGCATGTACAAGATTCATAAGAGCAAAAATTGGCAAAGTCTTATGGGTGTCTGGAATCCTACTTTAATACGTCAACATATACAGGACGAGAGCAAAGGATTCTAAAAGGCGCATATGATCAGGAAATCAAACAAGTGTCTAAAACGACACATTTGTTACATGAAAAAGATAACAGAAAGCTATTTTATTGTTATCCGACTATTTCAAACTTAAAACTAGTGGGTAAAACATATGGTGTAATTCTCCTCTGCTCCCTTCTACATTCTCCTCTTGTAGATTAATTGCCGCTACAATGTTCTGTTATTCCTGTTATTTGGGTGGAAAAAGAAAAGATTAGACCAAGCATACAATTGAGATTTACGTCACTTGCATTAACAAGTTTGCTTTTTCACAAAAGATATCGCAGGGTTTGACCTTCTGCTACCCCGTCAAGAGATGTTTTGACGCGGTAGACTAAAACAATCACTAATAAATTAGGCTCAACGGCCTTCCGTCGACATTTTTCAGTCATATTACTAGCATTTCTAGCATCCTGCCTCTATGTTGTCCGCTAATCCTTAGTGTTGCCGTGTAGCCCTCGCTCAAATTCATGACCCGTTCATTTGATCATGATAGGATGCCGAGCTGTGTCTAGATTATGATTTCAACCGTGCAAAATCGTTTATTCACTTGAAGTTTCAGTTTTTATACGTATCCCCAGCTTCAGGCGTATCAATCTTGATATCGATCGCCCTCTCAGTATTAGCCGTGCGAAACGTCCATTTAGTAAATGAGAGTCTGGGAAAAGTCTCCTAGAAACACGGAACTTAGCGCCTAAAGTTAAAATCGGTCTAAAATCGAAATTTGAGCGAGGAAAATTAGTGGAGAGTTAGGGTTGAGATAGCGGACCTCCCACTTTGAGAAGACGTGATCATGCTGCGTGCGCTTGCAACCCTCCCTCTTCAATCTAAATTTGGATCCAGGCGAAGAAGACGAGGAGGAAGGAAAAAGAAACATCACCCGATTCTTTCTCCGTCTCCCCTCAGATCTTCTTAAAACTTCCCCAGGCTTTAAAACCTACTACTCTGATTCCTTTTTCAAATTCCTTTCATGGGCCGGGCTGATTGTGCCTAAAGATATGAAGGCTTATACCAGGCCTATCTGAATTTAATGTTGAACCACACATAGTTTCTGAAAATCTATACAAATCTATTATTTATGATAACGCCATTGTTAAGTATTTTCTTAAACCTTTTTTAAAAAATAGGTGAACCAAACACCACCTTAGTATAAAAAGCAACTGTTACATGGGTCCCGTTTTTTCTGAAGGACATACAAAAAAAATTAAAAAGGTGGGGCTATGGTAGAGGAAGAAGCTAGAACTAAGCACCGCCAACTTTTAACAGGATTTCTAGAAACATATCAAAATCTAGAGGACCTGCGGTAAAGTGCTACCATTGCTACAAGGAAGGTCAAATTAGAAGAAATTGCCGACAATTGAAGAAGGAGCAGAGAGGAGGCAACAATCAGAATGATGACAACAACACAACCGTCATTATAGATGGCAGAGTGGCTCTTCTCACTCTTGGAGAAGAATGCTTGCACGTTCGAGACGACGATGATGGCTGTGTGGTGAACAGAGCAACTTCATATCATGCAACACCCTACAAGGAGTTCTTCACATCTTACAAAGCAGGCGACTTTAGTGTTGTGAAGACGGGAAACACCAGTCAATTAAATATTGTCGGGATTGGTGATATCCGTATACAAGCAAATGTTGGATGCATGATGACCTTAAAGACATGTTGGCACATTCCTGATTTGCCCCTCAATCTCTTACCTAGGCTTGCTTTGGACCAGCTGGACTACAAAAACTACTTCAGGAATGGAAGATGAAAACTAATCAAAGGATCTTTGGTAGTTGTCAAAAGAAAAGCATCCAGCACAATATACCGAAATTAAGCAAAGATGTGTGGTGACAGTCTTAACACCATGGAGGACAACTCTTCTTCAAATATCGGGCAAAAAAAGTTGGGTCACATGAGCGAGAAGGGCTTACAAATTTTGGCAAGGAAGGGACTAATCTCCTTAGTCAAATGTATTGCTCTATACTCATGTTTATTTGGCAAGTAACATCGAGTTTCATTCAGTAAATCTTCCCACAGAAAATCTAATGTGTTAGACTTGGTTTACTCTGTTGTTTGTGGTCCATTAAGTCTCTCGGTGGCAATAAGTATTTTATCACTTTTATTGATGATACATCTAAGAAATTTTGCATATATAACCTAAAAACAAAAGACCAGATGTTCGAATGTTTTTTAGATATTTCATGCTATGGTGGAGAGAGGGACCAGGATGTCTTTGAAGTGCATCGGCATAGACAACGGAGGCGAGTGTACATCCAAGTAGTTCAAATGCTATTGCTCAAGACATGATGTACTGCATAAAAAAAACTATACCAGGTACTCCTCAATATAACAGTGTAGTAGAAAGGATGAATTGCACCATCATGGAAAGAGTCTGAAGCATGCTAGATATGTCAAAACTTTCCAAGATATTCTAGGGAGAAGCAACTTGCACGGGTGATACTTGATCAACCTTATCTCCATCAGCTCCTTTATCATTCGATGTTCCAGAGAGAGTATGGACAAAAAAGGTCTCTTGCTCTCATTTGAAGGTGTTTGGGTGCAAAGCTTTTGCACATATTTTAAAGGAGCAGAGATCGAAGCTTGATGACAAGATGATTCCATGTATCTTCATTGGTTATGAAAATGAAGAATTTGGGTACATGCTATGAGATCCTATAAAAAAGAGAGTTATCAGAAGCAGAAATGTGGTCTTTCATAAAGGCTAAATCATCGACGAGAAGTCAGATGATGAGGTAGATGGAGATTCTAACCCCATGATAGATCCTTCCCCAATAGAGAATGTTACGTGCAAGACATGCCTAAGATGGGCAACACTGATGTTGACGGTGATAATGCAGAAGCTGATGAAGATGAAGATCCAACTCCTCAAGAAGGTGAAGGACCTCAGCTTAGAAAGTCTGAGAGAGTCTATCAACCATCTAAAGGTATCCCTCAATGGAATACGTTTTAGTTACTAATGAGGGGAGCCCAAGTGTTTTTAGGAGGCTCAATCTCATAGAGACAAAGACTGTTGGATCCATGAGATGCAAGAATAGACGAATTCTTTACATAAGAATAGTACCTATGAGTTGATGAGACTTTCTAAGGGTAAAAGAGGGCTGCAGAATAAGTAGGTCTTCAAACTAAAGAAATACAGAGAAAAAAATACTAAAGTACAAAGCGAATTGGTCGACAAATTTCGACAGAAAAAAGGAGTTAACTTTGATGAGATTTTCTCTCTAGTTGTAATGTTGATGTCTATCAGGATAGTTCTGGGTCTTGCAGCAAGCCAAGATCTCAAGTTAGGGCAACTCAATATAAAGACCACATTTCTCCATGGTGATTTAGAGGAGGAGATTTGCATGGTGCAACCAGAGGGATTCAAAGTGAAAGGCAAGGAGGATATGGTCTACAAGCTGAAAAAGAGTCTTTACAAGCTCAAACAGACACCATGACAATGGTACAAAAAGTTTTGACTCAATTTATGATGGGTCATGGGAATACGCGTATAGTTGCAGATTCATGTGTCTATATCCAGAAGTTCTTTAAAGGTAACTTCATCATTCTTTTACTTTATGTTGACGAGATGCTCATAGTTAGAAAGGATATAAAGATGATTCAAATGTTAAAGGAGGAATTATCTAAGTCCTTTGACATGAAGGATTTGGTGCTAACACGTCAGATCCTAGGGATGCAGATTATTCGAGATAGGAAAACAAAGAAGGCATGACTATCTCAAGAAAAATATGTTGAACGGGTGGTTCAACGATTCAACATGAAAAGTGCTAAGCCTGTTAGCACGCTTCTCACAAATCACCCTAAGCTTAGCAAGAGAGATTGTTTCCATACTCTTTTGCGGTTGGGAGTTTGATGTATGCTATGGTATGCATACGGTTAGACATTGCTCATACAGTCGGTGTTTTGAGCTTCAAACCCTCAAAGAGAGTACTAGGAAGCAGTAAAGTGGATTCTCAGATACTTGAAGGACAGTTCAAGGTTGTGCTTGACATTTACCAGTTCTAAATCAATTTTGGAAGGTTATATAGATGCAAGTATGACAGATGATCTTGATAACAGAAAGCCTACATCTGGATATTTATTTATTTTTATAGAGGGAGTTATATTTTAACAGTCCAAGCTATAAAAGTGTATTTCTTTATCCACAACAGAAGCATAGTACATTGCAGCTGCATAAGCAGGTAAAGAAATAATGTGGAGGAAATGATTTTTCTAGGAATTGGGTTTGAAGCAGGATGAGCACATCAAATATTATAACAGGCAGAGTGTTATTGATCTTAGCAAAAACAGTATATACCATTCCCGTACGAAACACACTGACGTGAGATACCACTGGTTACGAGCTGTAACAGAAGAGAAGCAGATGTTACTGTAAAAGATCCATACTGATAAGAACCCTGTCGATATAATGATGAAGGATGTTCCCAGGTATAAGTTTGATCTCTATGTAAAACTCACCAGGATGGACCTTACAAGTGTTTGCACATATGAAATAAAAATCAAAAATGGTTGGGCTACGGAAGGTAGGATGTCTGCTTCATCCTAAATTCCTGAGGCTATAAGTAGCCTCCAATTAGGAAGCAAAAACCATGACAAGCCACTAAGCAATAAAAATAAAGAAGTTCAAATCATAGAGTATTTGAGTGTTAGAAAGAAAAAAGAGAGAGAACAAGAAAGATTGTTAATCTTTTGTGTTCATTTTCTGAAGTAGAAGAAGTCCTCTTTTCTGTCATGTTTGTTGCTAGTATACCTTTAGCCAAGTGTCTAGAGAGAAAACTTTGTATACACATTATATTCAGCTAAATACCCATATTATTATTTTAATTCCACCCCATTTACCAAAAAGGTATTTTAATTAGACAAACCTATTTTAAGGTGTTTTAATTGATTCAACTTACCAACAATGTTATTTTTCTCGTCAGCGACCAGTTTTCCAGTGAGAGCTCATCATATGCGTGGCACATAATGACTTAAACTATTTTTTAGCTGCTGATGTGACATGGATCTGTCCTATTTTGGGTGAATTGGGATTTTTATAGGGTTAATTCCCGCCTTTAAATACTACCACATCAGGAAATCCGTGCCACATCAGCAGCTAAAAAACAGTTTAAGTTATCACGTGCCACGCACGTGACGAGCTTTCGTTGGAAAACTGGTCGCCGACGAGAAATGTGTGAAATTTGTTTCCATGAATTGTCTGCAAGTAATATTGTCTAGCTGCTCGTTACAGGATTAACATGATTATTCTCGGGGTACTATTATAATACTCTTACGGATTCGAAACAATCAAATCGAAACCGTGCCCTTCCGGACCTTGTGTTGAAAGTAGGAAAGTAGGAAAAATCACCACAAATAAAAGATAAAACTTGCAGAAAAGTAAACAAGAAAGAACGACACACCACATTTAATGAGGTTCGACAACGTGTCTACATCCTCGGGAGCCACACCACACAACTCTTTGATTAATTGAAGAAGATTACAATGCTCACAATAGGCCTTTCTCTCTCTAAGAAATTAGATCTCAAAGAGCCGTAAAAAATCTCTATTTTTCGTGTCTTATAAAACACTAAAACATATAGGAGTATATATAGAAGTTGAGTGGAAACAGAATCCCAAACAAAACAGGAAACTAGAAAACCCGTCGTCGGTCGATCGGACCTGATGTTCCGGTCGACCGGCCAGAACGTAGTTTTCTTACAGGGTCTGGTGCACCTTTTCGGTCGACTGGGTCATCAACTTCGGTCGACCGGATGACCGCTCTCGGTCGACCGACATCAAGCTTCGGTCGACCGGCCAGAGTGACATCTTCTCCTTAGTTTTCTACAGGGTTCGCGATCGACCGGATATCCTCCTCCTGTCGACCGACCAGCGATTTGACTGTTTCCTTCATTTTTT